ACCTGCTGAGGGCCATCGATCCCGGTCTGTTTGTGGTGGGTGCCCAAAGTGGGGAGGTGCGACTGAGGAGGCTGGTGACAGAGAGAGATGCTATGAAGCAGAAGCTCGTTGTGCTGGTGCGAGACAATGGGCAGCCACCACTGTCAGCTACCGCGGTAATGAGTGCGCTCCTGCTCAGTGACTTTTCGGATGTGCGCCTACCACACAGCAACCTGGCCACAGAGGATGACAGTAGCTCCCTGATGATATATTTAATAATTTCTTTGGTCTTTGTCTCATTCCTCTTCGTTGTATCCACAGCAGCCTTCATTGCTCGCAAGGTGTGCAAGGGAAAAGAGATAAAGGATGGGCATGTGGTTTATGGTGCCAACAACTTGCAGAGCAGCCTGGCTGATGCAGCTGCTGCAGGGACCCTGCCCCATGCCTATTGCTCTGAGATCAGACTCACAACGGGCTCAGGCAACCGCGAGCTAAAGCTCCTGAAGCCCATCCTCCCCAGCCTTCCTCCAGAGCTCAATGCCGCATGTGGGGACACCAGCAATGAACAAGATTTCCCTTATGGCCCTATCACTGCAGGGGAGATGGCACGAGACAATCCTGGGGTGCTGTCTGCAGAACAATTCAATAATCTTTCGTTTAACTAAGATGGTGTCGGCGCAGACAGAGGCTTCACATCTTGTGACATGAAGTCATCCGTGGTAGGACCTGTGACAATGGGACCTCCAGAGTATGGTGTTTTCACAGACAGGGGTTTTGTGTTTCATCACAGGAAGGGATCCCTTTCAGCACCTGTGGTGATCATACCTCCAGAGTAAATCCTGATTTACTGTTGGTGTCAATGTCTTTCTACAAGTAGAAAGTGAGAAATAATATTGACTTAATCTATAGAAAACCACCCAACAAATCCAAACAAAAGGAGGCTGCCTCATTCAGGAAGTGGCGTGTTTCAGCTCTCATGCAGGCATTTCTAAAATGCTTTCAGATTGGGGTTAGTACCAGGACCCCAGCTAAATTCTTGTCTCAGTTGCTAGCAGACAAGACCATCGACCAGTTCCTCTGTGCTATAACACAATGGTGTGGTCAGGCAGACAAACTACAACCTCACTGAAATGCATGTAACTGTTCTTTTGGGTCAGGAAAGCAATGATGTTGTGAGTACTGTGTGACAAGGTGTCACACAGTGTGAGCATGGGGCTCTTTCTCCTCTGGTTTCTGAATGTCTCTGTCTGAGATGGGTGTGTTCTGTGTGTTTCTCTTTCTGGTCACTGTGTCTGTCCATATAGCGGTCGTGTGTCTGTCTATTCTGCACAAGGGCTTCCCATCAAAGCAGGCAGTTGTTCTCATTCTACTGTTAAGATTTCAGTGAAGCAGGAAGAGATATGTTTTGACCCTTTGAGTGCAGCACTCTCATTTTCTCTAGGGTCAAGCAGAAAAACACACAAGTTGTTCCCTAGGCCCATAATGGGTGTTTGTGTAGCCTGTCTCCTGGGATTCTTTGGAAAATACAGCAGCATAAATGGTGTTGGGATAGAATGTAATGGACCACACCAGGCCAGGCTAGACTAGACTAGACTACACTAGGATAGAAGTTTTCCATTTTTAGGGGACATACAATGCTCATCTGGGCTAACTCCTGGAGCCCATCAGGGCTGACCAAATGGTGATTTATGTTTTTAATGGCATTTGACAAACACAGGCTTGTTAAACACAGGCTTGGGGTATTGACCACCTGCCTAGGAAGCCTGTTCCAGTGTTTGACCACCCCTTCAGGAAAGTAATTCTTCCTAAATTCTTCCTAAGTCTAAACCTCCACTGCTGTGGCTCTAAAACGTTCCCGTTTGTGCTATCACTGGATATGAGGGAGAACAGATCAGTGCCTCCCTCTCTACTTCCCCTCCTTGGGAAGCTGACCCTCACATGCTGCTTCAGTTTTTCTGCTGTGTTTGATGCCAACAGGATGCAGTTTGGCCTCTTGGCTTCCAGGGCATGCTGCTGGCTCCTACTGAGCCTGCTGCCCACCAACACCCCCAGCAACTCCCTTTCTTCAGGGCTGCTCTCCAGCCTCTGCTTTCCCAATTTAGACTAAAATCCAGGAAAACTACATCCACCCCTTTCCCTTCATCAAGGAGGCAGGTGACCTTCGTACCCAGTATGATCTTCTCCATATACTTTCCAGGAGCTGAGGTGAGACCAACAGGTCTGTAGTTGCCTATGTTTTTCCTCATGCCCTTCTTGCAGACTGGAAGAACATTGGCTAACTGCCAGGCAGGAAGCTCAGGGGACGTGTCCTCTCTCTCAGGGGACTGGGAAGCCCTGGTATTAATGACTTAACTAAAGTGTGAAGTAAGAAAAGCAGTGAATGACTTCTCTCCTCTTTAGTCCCTGTTACTCAGGGAGGGACCATCTTCCACAAATACCAGATTAATGTTTTCTTTTGACTTCCTCTTGCTCTGAACATACTTTAAAAAGATATTCTTATTGTCTGACACAACACTGGCCAGATTTGACTCTAATCGGTATTCGGCCTTTCGTATCTTCTCCCGTGTCTTCTCCCTGCATACATGAACTGTAGCTCTGCAAGCTTCCTGCAAAGCCTGACCTTGCTTCCAGAGATCATTCAACTTCTTTTTCCTCTGGAGTACCACAAGGGTTCCATGTTTAGCCAAGCTGGTTTTCTGTCCCACATGTTTGATTTGTGGCAGAGTGGAATTGTCTCATAATAAGTATATGGAGCTGTGAGAACACGTTCCTGGTCCTGGGGTGGATTTTTTTGTAGGGAAACTCCACAAATTGCTTCAAGGGACTTTTTTGTGGAGGTAAAATTGAGATGAAATAATAAAAAGGACTTTGGGTTTGGCCCTGACATTGTTTCTGAATTCAGAAGTTTCTTGATGGGACTGGAAAGATGTCCTGCTATAATTTTTGTGTTTTCCTCTTAAAGCATTTGCATTGTCCTTTTTGCCTTTTCTCCTTCTACTCTGTGAAGTGATTTGAGCAGATTTTTTGAATGGAGGCAGCATTGCATGGGATATTCGGAAACACTCGTGTTGTGCTGCAGTTACAAACTGTGCTGTTGTAACTTCATAGACCCTTGTTTGTAAAAGCAATATAAAGAGAGTACGTTGTGTGGAGCCAGTGTTCTTTGTAGGGCTGTTCTTTCTGGGAAAGCTCTGTCACAGTTTCCAAAGGGCCAGGAGTGTTTTTCCCATGTTGTCCCTTGGCTGAGCTAAGGGTGAGTGGGTACATTTCTTGAGTTGGGAGATGTTGCCAGTAGAACCTTCAAGCAAGTTGTGGGAATTGCTGGCAGGCCCCTATGAGTCTCTTCCAGTAGTGAGCATCTGGCTGTGACAGGGCACCCCTATATCCAGATTGGCGCAAGCTGGCC